AATTTAAAGGACCTAGAACATGTAACGTACATATTTAAATGGAAAGCATTGGTAAACTGACTTATTTTGGCTTACTGCGGTTAACATTTTTACAGAGTATCACAACTGGTGATTTAATTCTTCTGTCTTACTATAACTAGCTGAATGTGTATCTTTATTGTAATACAAAAATCAAGTATTTGTTTCTTGAGCTACACCTTGTACTCATGGTCTATATGCAGCAGTTTGTTTTCATTACTTCTATACTTCAATTTTATCGACCAGGGTGACATTTTCTTGTGAGATTTAAAGCAATGGCCTTATTCATGGCTTTGTCTTTACACGGCCAGTAGTTCTAAAAGCAGTGTTTGTTTCCCAAGGGGAGTGTTCTTTTGCCATTTTAAATAAATGGAACTGTCAAGTTGACACTTTTGTCCTTTCTCTTGTTTTCTGGCTACTTCATTATAAAGACTATGTGTCTGCCAATAATTTACTGTATATCTCACTTTAAAGTTGTTTGTGCAACTGAACAGTTACAGCTCTGAAGCCTAAAGCAAGAGAGATGTTTTTAATTCACTGCATTGTTGCAGGTTAGCCTGCATCAGAGTTCTTAGAAGTTTTTTTTATTATTGCTTGTGTTGTCCAAAAAGCGGATTCGTGCCCGGCATGCAAGTAACCAATTCACACGCTCAGGATAGAGAGTGTTTTATTCAGGCCTGGGTGCTTGGTGGACTTGCCACAAATCAAGCACACTGGGTCTAATCACTTTTCTGCTTATATTCATAATTCTTACCCATATTCTAATTTTCTCTTATACATATTAATTAGATTTCCAAGAACTAATTATAATATTACATCATCCTAGACACATGCGCATTAGGGTCTTTGGGGGTCCTCTGGTGGTCGTCGATAGTCTTCCTCACAGTGTCCTTTAGTTGAACTCGGTCTTCACGCATGCTCAGTTTTAGCTCCTGGCTTAACTAGCACATCTCTCATTAACACAAACTAGCACTACCCTCTTATCTATTCTACTCAAGGTACAAGGTTAGCCTCCCTGTCTAATTTACGCAGAATACTAAGTTTCAGGGCCTTTTCAAGGCCTTTTTTATCTACTGTATGTCAGATCTGTCCATTCACAAAGTGTTCCTAGCCACCTGCATCATTTCAACCAAAGAACTATATATCTCTTCACTGTTTCTTCGTATTTGATGTCGATCCCTGACACGTACCTCTTCACTGTTTCTTCGTATTTGATGTTACTCCCTATCATATATCCCTCACTGTTTCTTTCTTTCCTTGTAAGGTTGTTCCGTTTCCGTGGTTACTGCTCACTAGAGTCTAACAATGCTTCCAAGATACACAATTTGTCTACACCTACAAACACCTGTTAGTACCTAACTTTTAAGCAACAAATCTTAAACGAACAGTATAATCGGTACTATAACAAACTGTATCCACTACATCACTTGTATCACATCACTGATTTTTTGTCTTCCCCAACCAAACTTCAATAAACTCAACTTGAATTTCTAATTTGAGCTGATCAGTAGGATAACTGATCTATAGCTAAACTTGGTGAGCTATGAAGCTGGCCCACTGGCGAATAATTTTTCTCTGAAGCTATTAAGTGACACGATGCCTATTAAGTGACACGATGCCTTGTCTCACGCTTGTCAGGCTTTTATATTAACTACACAGCCAGAAGAATAATAAAAGGAAAGAAACTATTGGTGAGATGAAGGACAGCAGGAGTGAAGAGTAGGCTAGGGCTGTTGAGGGCACATGGCCAATCCACTTAAGAATCCCAGCATTAACAAAAAGCAACCGGTGAAAGGACACAGCTCTGGCAGTGTGGGTCTTAAAAAAAAAAAAAAAAGCAGCTAGACAAGGGAGATTCATTCTCATTTCCTGTCAGCTTTGCACAATGGAAATGACTGGAGTAGGTTTTCCTTCCCCATGACCAAAGGCTTATTTCAACAGCAGTCGCATAGATAACCAATAAAAACCACCACTATCATCATCATCTTGGTATTTCCATTTATTATGCTGTAAAAAGCAACACTATCTGGATTTTATTTCTTAAAATAAATAACTTTCATTTTCAGAACCAGTACAGCTCAAGTTCAGATTCATTCATGGGAAACTGCTAGAAATACATTCATCACTGTCTGTTCCCCACAACACAGAATCTAAAAGTCGAGATCAGCCCAGTCAGTTACAATGACCAGAAGTACACTGCCAGTAAGTATAGTCACTGATAGTCCAGCTCTGAAGCAAAATAATCTGGTACCATACATTTTGTTCACAAAGATAGGCTAATTAATGCCAAGACTATCACAATATTTCTGAGTACAAAGCATTAAGTTAGCTTAACGATTTTAGGTTGTGATACAGAAGAAACATATATGACATAAAAACAAAGGAGTGGGGGAATCCTCTTTGGAGCATAAGGAAGTCAGCATTTGATATGATAACCAAAAGCTATTTACGGTAAAATCTACATGTCAGTGTCATGAATGATAAACAGCCAAACCAATGTACTGCATATATTTATAGTTATAAATAACGCCATGTCTAAATAGCTGCATCGCTGAATTGGACATTACGAAATAATGCTTCTTCTCACAATGAGAAAGTACTAAAACTAACCAGCAAAAATGCACTGAAGCTAAGACTGGCTAAAAGCACTCAGCATGATTCAGGAAAGCGTTAAGTTTAGGGACAGCCATGATCTTTCATGTTAACTCAGTTAAAATGCTGCCTTTTGGTTTTTTGTATATATGTGTATTATATAATATACATAGCTTTAAAAAATGCCAGTATGAGCAATGCAAATTTCAATTAAATAAAGCTAAATCAGGTACTTTTGTGAGAAGCCAAAGGATATGTTTTAATAGGAAAAAAAATATGGAAGAAGTCAGATTAGGACTGAGATACAGACTACTAAACCGGAATCCATCTGAAAATATTCCTCTACGCTAAAGTTGACACATCTGTTGCCAGAGAAAACACGTTGGAATTTAGTTCAGGGTGCAGCAGAGAAGAGGCCTTGTGCTACTCGGTGACCGATGTGGCTCAATAAAGAGCCAGAGGCCGTTTTGTTTAGTTCTTAGTTAGAACTAAGGTGGCTGTGACACAGGACGTGAAAAGAACGGGTTAAAAGCTTTCAGAAAAATAGCTGATCTTCAGAAAAAAAAAAAAAGAAAAAAAAAGAAAAAAAAAAAAGAGCAGCTTAAGAACAGTAAGATTCTTGAGAAAAAGTGTTTGATAACCATGCCAGCCAGCTTTGAAATGCTATTTCAGGGCTTTAGACTTTCAGGCTCTTCCAAGATTTCATCATCATGAAGACAGTCACTGCTTGTGATGAGCATCAAGCACTTTTCCATGTGATTTGTCCTCCCTGCAGGGAGGCAGTATGGCGTATCGACGAGAGACTGTACAGGAACTCGAGTGGATTTATTCTCAACTATACTGACCTGCTGGCTCACTCTGGAGAGCCTTAGTGCACCCATTTGCAAAAGGAGGGTAACGTGGTTCAGATCATCTTTATAAAGTGCTTGGGCCATTCTAGAAAGAATTTGGGCATTATTTCAGGAGGATTTTGGTGCCTAAACACAAAAAATTTGAACTTTGAGATCTACTAATGACTTGTACACTATGTGCTAGGATAAAAATAGCCATATTCTCAAGCACAATCTCCTTTTCCATGTGCTAAACGATTCTTGCCTAAAATCCTTGTGCAAAAATTCTTGCCTATGTCCAGCAACTGTGGTGTTCTGTGAATATTGAACTCTTAACTTCAAGTGACTGCTCACTTCTGAGGTTTTATGCCACAGTATCGCCAGAAGCAGTTGCACATGGGATAGGGAACTGTGGTAACATTATACTTCTGTAAACAACAAATATCTGCACCTACATTTCCCACGACGGGGCACATGCCAAGCTGGCTTCAGCGGCAAGATAATAAATGCCACCGTTCGCCACAAAAGGCATCACCCACTTGTGCTCCCGATGCTGAACGTCTGTTCTACACCAGCGGAATCCCACTGATGCAATATCCTGCTCCCTGGTTGATGGTAGTGCAAGAAGAGAACATACCCAAAAATTTGGCTTATCTCCTGCTCTGCTCATGCTTTGATTGGCTCTATGCTCCTTAAAGCTGTTTCACTCCATCGTGTTCTTTAGTACAAGCCTAAACGAAGTCAGATTTACACGTAATATTTGGTTCAGAACTTTGCCGTTCGCACACTTCCATTCCCCTCACTGGTTCCTGGTGCAACTGCCAAGAACACCGCGCGTGAGCCCAAGAGGGGGTTTCTGCAGCTTGTCAAGGCTTGCTGTAGTGCAAATATACCTGCAAGGAACTCAACTGCACAGAGTGGAAGCACCCGCTTGCCCCAGCGACGGGGAAGTACTTTAGCAGCTGAACGTGGAGAGAGAGGAGGGAGGCGAGACAAAGGGAACTGAAAGAAACGCTTCCAAAACGAAAACAAAAACCCCACTCAACGCTGTTTGACATTGCAAGTCACATTCCCCTATGCCATTTGGTCAAACAAACCTTAAAACAGATTCTCTGACAAGACTATCTCTAAGAACAAGCCTAGACCATTGACAACTCTCACCTATATACTCTGTTGATATTTATATTATGTAAACAAGATTGTGTGGAAGTTTTTTTTATTTTTTTTTTTTTCCCAAAGATAAGTGCAGATCCTTACTTAACACACCCAGCCTAAATCTACATCAGCATCCTCAGCTTTTGAAAAACCTCACTGACGCTCATACCTGACAGTACTCTGGCTCATCTTGGCCATACTGGAAACAGAGGGCTATAGAAATAAAAAAAATCAGCAGAAAAATTCCTGACCACAGACTGGAGTTCACATAGAACACAAAAATAAATTAAGTAGTGCACAGTAAAGCCAACAACAGCTAAATATTTTTATACATCAATTATATGCAGCATGAGGTAATATTGCTCACATTATGGAGGGAGATTCTTAGTTGGTTTTGTTTCTTTTGAGAGAGATTGGATTTGTCCTGTGCGTATAGAAACTCCTGTAACATAACACTGAAGTAACAGAGACTTCCGTAAAATATATACCACTATCAGATAGAAACACACACGCTCTTCATTACTTATGTATACCACAATTAAACAGGTAAGTGATTTGATTCTTAGGATCTAGCTGAAGATGATTATAGTAAGCCATCTAGATTTTTATGAACCGTTCGGTTCTCCTTTCCGTTGTTGGAATCCTCCGATGGCGTGTATTGGACCTGATATTCTTGAAGAATTTTAAAAACATCATGGTGTCCAAAATGTAAAGCTTCATCCATAGGAGTGTTATTCCACCTACAGGAAGGAGCACAGTATTTCTAAGATCAGCACGTAAGCACAGAGCCAGAAGCACCAAAAATCTAGTTCTTTACATTCTGTGATATTAAGCACACAGACCACACTAAGTTCAGTAACCGTGAAAATACTTTGTAAGCTGAGCATAACCTTTTAAATAATGGTTTTAATGGATCACCATTTATTTCATTCCCGCTCACTCTGCAGAACCTACCGAGAACCAGTAGGATCCTGTTCCTTCTGCTTCAGTGTACTGGCTCAACGCATCCCACTCGCACCTGAGCCCTCTCCTCATGGGGGCTACAGAGCTGCTGCTAGAGCATCTCTCCTCCGAAGTGGCAATAAACCCACTCACCTGTCTTTGGGGAAAGGATTCACTTTGCATGCTTCCAGGAGAAACTTAACAACGTCCACATGTCCTGTAAGAAAAGCAGGATTGTGAGTGTACTATTTATATGTATCTATGTATATACATATATACATGCAAAATTTTAAAAAGCAGGTATGCATATATAGAGAGTGAAGATACTGTAAAGAAAACTGACCTCATTAACAGATAGCAAACGACATGCAAGGAGACATTACCTTCTGCAGCTGCTACATGCAGGGCTGTTCGTGAGTCATAGTCTCTTTGTTCCATATCCATTCCTGACAGAGCAAATCTGAAAAAAAGAAAAAAAACCACCACCCAAAAAACGACGATTACAGAGAAGTCTTACACAATTAAAACAAGTTACAAAACTAGCATGGAACAACACCCCCATGTTAAAATGATGAAATATCTGCTGCAAGAGGATATAAACAGTATCAAGAGCACATCGTACCTTCAGTTATAACGAAAGGGGCCCTTACTGCTTTGGCTTTAAAAATAAGGTAGGGGCTTAATTTTCCTTCTGATCTCTAGTTGTTACAAAGAGAAACAAAATAAAAATGTCTTTGCAGGGTTCCTTAAAAGTCAACATACCTGATGTAAAATCTAACAGGGATGAGCTAAGTCATATAAGACAAAGTAAACTTATGCCGGCTGAGGAAACCCAGGAAGGACTCCCAGGTCTGAAAATCCCCAACAGCATTACGGTATTGGGAGAGATCTTTCATCACACTACGATGCTCCGGGACAGCAGAGCTAAACTATACACGTTTTTGCAGCCACTAACTATATTCAGGTATATTCTAGCCACATTAATATGTTTACCTAGCCTCTTACTATTATTACTTTAAACGTTGCCAGATTCTACTCCAGATTTAGAAAGCCAAGCTGTATTTCCTAACCTCTCCAACAATAGCGTGCGTTTTCTTCCTGATTTTTTGTGGCAGTGTCAGAATTGGACTATAAAGCAGGCTAGAGTACAGCTCGGATTTTCTGCCATCGCTATAAAACGACTGGTTAAGGAAATTTATTTCAGTGCGATCCAAAGAAAGGGAAAACAATGGGATTTCAGGATAGTGTGAGGGTACCTTTTTGATGGTTAGGTTTGGGGTTGGTTGGTTGGGTTTTGGGTGAACATACCCAATCTCGCATAAGAGCTGGGATATCCCCAACACAGTGCATATTCATAAGTAAACAACAGCCTCAGGTACCAAACAAGTAGCTTTCCTATTCCCAACCCCACACCGATTTTTACCTCCGGAGTGCAGACACATCCCCCGTGTAGGCAGCGAACAGCAGATTTATCACAGACTTCACCTACAGAGAGAGATGAAGGCCAGTTTATTTTGCTTCTTTCCTCACAAAGAAAACAAACAGAAAACCCAGAAAAGCCCAGCGTGGCCAGTCAGTCCAGTGCTTATGAGCCTGATAATTTTATCCCCTTCCCCGGCCACATTTTGCAGCATAGTGTAAAACACTGGAAGAATTCGTTCCAGCTTGCTTTGCTACCAGTACTTGTATGTCTGTCTTTCCAAGGTTGAAGTCATAAGGACAGTAAAAGAATCCTAAAATATGCATTTCTAGCCTACTGTGGTAAAAAAAAAAAAAAAAAAAAAAAAAAAAAAGCGCCTTGCTGGATGGACAAACCGCATTTCTCTCTTTGATTGCCCAATGATACCGAGTATTGAATTACAAAGACAGCATCACTTTGCACAATTCACAAACCATAAACACCTCGTAAGACAAACTCATTCTGGAAAAGTAAGTTTGTTTTTTTTTTTTTTTAATCCCCCCCCCCTTTTTTACAGAGGAGACTCCTAATACTAAGAGAAATCTGTTAGCAGAACAGAAGAAATGGTACCGGTTTTGCTTTGTATCACAGATTTTCCTTGCATACATCTAATACAGAGGCTTTCTTCAAATAAACCATTTTAAGCGATTCTATCATATAATGAACCACCACAAGAAAAGCAAGGTTTCAAGGCAGACAAAAGTAGGATCTTTTTAGATCAAATAACATAGGTAAAGCCTCAGGCAAGTAGTGCTTTTCTCAGCTGTATTAATGAATAAGAAACCATACTCTTAAGCTACCAACTTCATCCCATGCACATTTTTAACACATCCCGGCTATAACAGCTCTCAAAGTTTTAACAAGAGCCAAAACCGACAAGATACATTGTTTTAAGCATCCCACCTCGGTGTCTTTCATAAATTGATATGGCCACCTCTAGGCGCCATTTCACAGCATTTTCCAGTAAACTTTCTAAATGCTGTGTTGCTTTTTAAGTTGAGTCTATGAAGTCCTGTCGCTGCTACCAGGCAAGTAACAGATAAAGAAGAAAACTGATACTGCATTGACCTTCCACAACAAGGAGAAACAAGAAAAAAAAACAAAAAAAAAAAAATCACCGCCCACAAGCAAGTCTCCCACAGATTTCTGCAAAAATACTGGCATATTTTCACAGGGCCACAGATGAGCCAACATCTGCGCCTCTTATAAACCAAAGTAGTGGAATTGCTTGTTATTTTTTACACCTCAAATATGCACTGACGCAAAGAGAGACTAAAGCAAAAGGAGACAGAGCCAGGATGGAAACAGAGCCATGCTCCTTATTCCAGTATCCACAAACTCCTGCAGCTCCTTTTCAGTTTGCACTCCAAGGCTCACCAGGAGCCTTGCACCCGCCGCAAGTGGGAGACCTGCTCGGCGGGATCTGCGGGTCTCCATCCCTTCTCAGGAGGCTCAGTAGCCCCCAGGCAGCTTCTAAACCTTGCTGGCTCCACAGGCTGGGCCCCTGGGCTCTCACAGCACTGACCCCAAGCACCCGGGCCACCTCGAACTGTGGAAAACCTGAGCTCATTTCCCAGACCCTCCTCACAAGCGTTACAGAGGACAGGCCTGAAGTAATTCTCTTCCTCCTATGAAGGTTTTTGTGTTTAAAGCTTCTGGAAAAAACCAAGCACCCGGGCCACCTCGAACTGTGGAAAACCTGAGCTCATTTCCCAGACCCTCCTCACAAGCGTTACAGAGGACAGGCCTGAAGTAATTCTCTTCCTCCTATGAAGGTTTTTGTGTTTAAAGCTTCTGGAAAAAACAAACAAACAAACAAACCAGCAACCAAGAATCCTACCACACGTGAGCAGGGGCTTTGCTCTGGACGCAGAGCCAGCCACCCCTGCCTGAGCCCACCTACCCTTTTCTCCCCCCTCCGCCGGCTGCCCCTGCGCCCCGCAGCTGGGCTCGCCTTCTCTCCAAGCAGTCACAGGACGACGGGAATAGGCCGTTCCACGCACCCCGCAGGGATGCTGCGCCTCATCGTTCCTTGCAGCTCCCACGGAGGCATGACAGACACGGAGACAGCATCGCTTCCATCACCAACACCAGTCAAGGGCGGCAAACACCCAAGAGCACTCTCATCAGTCACACCAAAATACTAAAATCTCCTAAAAGAATGTGTATCTTTTACAGCTACGGGGCTGCAGGCTGTATTTAAACACAGGCATGAAAGGGGAATTAGGTTGATAATCTCTAAATTTCACCAGGATGCTTCAGGAGCTTTCCTTGCCGAGAGCGCAGTTGAGCACTCCTCTGCTGCTGCTGCCCTGCGGCAGACCGGCCTGGATGCATGCAGGCGTTTCAGGTCCTGCAGATGCTGAATACTCTCCCTTTTGCAGGATTTAGGATGAGCAAAGGACATTCTGTCCTTAATAAAAACCACTTCAGAGGTAACTAATCATTTTGGCTGGGCTTCTTTATGTTTCTGGGAAAGGCAAATGTGTATTACAATAATAAAATAAAAATAACATGCATTCCTTCCTTACGAAAAAATAACTTTCCAAGTGCAGCTGGGGCCAAGAATGCCTCTGGAGTCAGCTGAACATTTTGCTAAGAAGCCATTTTCATTTTCATGATGATGTGACAAAATGTAATTTGGAGATTCCTGAGGCTTTCTAACACAAAAATCTTAGGCCATGTCTCTCAGCAATCTGGGAGAGGTTAAAGCCGCTCCTTTCTTAAGATAAATAATGGAAAATCCAAGGTCATGTTATTATAAAACTAAACTTTTTGACAGACCAAAACAAAAAGAAATACAAGTCCAGACAAAAAGAAAAAAAAAAAAAATCTCTGCTTGTTAGTTCAGAAGGAGGAAATTTGAGAGGAAATATGACTGCTCTCTGTACAACAGTAAAGGTAATGGGATACAAAAAGCTGGAGACAAACAAGTTAGCAAGACAATTATTAGCAGAATAATTATCCAAAACTGGTCAGGAACGAACTCAATCTGGAAAAAAGCAGAGTGTAGCTATCATAGCCGAAACAACACCCCCCTAGGGCTCATTTCCAGTGAGACTTTAATGATTTTATGGAAGAATTAGGTTGGATTTGCCAGCAACAAAACACACCTTGACTCTGTAACTGCACCTTACTCTATCAGCAGCATAATCCAGGCCAAAAAATTAACAAATTTTATAAGGTATGAAATGAAATTGCTCAAAAGGCAGCCATAAATAACAAAGATGGACATAAAAAGTGAATTCAAGAATAAAATTTAAGAATCTGCAAATAGAAAATACGTTTTGAATTCAAAGTAAGAATACACAGTTTCCATGAGCATCTTCTGGAACATTTCTTAGATTTCAAGACAGTATTAATCTACGTGGCATATACATTAAACCATCATGTAAGAGGTTATAATTTACATTGAGAAAAAGTTATTACGCAAAAATAACTTGCTGCCAGAAGCTTTGTATCTGCACAAAATCTCACTTAGGCTGCCATAAAATCAAGACTTCAAAAATGCAAGTAAAAATTCTCTACCCCCAAACTCACAGCTTACTAGCCTGAAATAACAGGTCTGTTGCAAAAATCAAGAGCCAAAGAAACTCTAAAGTGGGAGCAGCAAACATATGATTGTGGGGTTTTTAACTGTAGGGGAGAAAAAAAAAATAGTGACGCCGACAGATGAGCTGTATCCATTCAAACTCAGTAGGGCACAAGGGACAAGGCAACTAGTTTAAGTGTTTAGAGACTCTGTCAATGAGTTTCTCACCAAGTGGTTCATTATCTTCCGTATGCCATACTCAGTACTGGTGTTTCTGTTAACGGCACTGATTCACACAATTTTTCCCTCATCTTCAGAAACAGGAACAGAAAGTTCACCTTCAATGCGACAGCCAAGAATTACCTTTTTCTACTGCGCAGAATTCCTCAACTACGAAAATTTAATAAAAGGAGAAGGGACAGAGTCCCTTCGCTATATACGAGTTGGATCAAACAATACCATCCAGCCATACAGCAGTACCAAACCCAGAGCAAAAACTGTTCCACCTTATGTCAAATGGGAGATAAAACCTGCGTGCGCTGCGCCGGATTAACTTAACAGCTCTCTTGTTACTATGCCAGAAATACAGAGCACCGCTCACTGAGCTACGAGGAAACCGCCTTTGTACACAAGACACTTTTTCCTGAGTGCCGGATATAATCCAGGTTATCCAGGTGGTGAAACCAGCAAGGAAAGGTTCCTCGGGAATATTTGTGTCACCCAACGTTAAAAATCAGAAGTCCCAGACCACACACCTTGTATTTTCACCTTCAGGTAAGTAGGTGTTAGAGGTCTCAGACTCAGCTGGGTGAAGCTGTGACCGACTCGGCCTGGTGCTGGCAACAGTCCTGCCTCACGTCGGAGGTGGCCAAACGACCACGACCTCCAGAGGTCCTTTCCAACTAACCCTTCCGTCAGTCTGTGGGTAAGAACGTGAGCAGCACAAGAAAGAAAAATCAAGACTGTTGTCGCTGAAGAACTACACCGAGGTCAAGTCAAAGGAAGGAAACACGCGGAGTTCAGAGCGGCAGGAAGTCACACCGCTGCGGCAGACATTTCAGATAAACACAGGGGGCCTAACGGGGGCGGGGGGGGGAGAGGAAAAACACCAACCCAAAACCCCAAAAGCACAAACCGAGTGAGATTCGGCATTGGAAGTTACAAAGGAAAACCGAGAGTTAAAGTGACTCCTAGTCCAAAGCTTTCATATTGCAGTTATTTTAAATATCTCCTAAGCCTGATTGTACTAAAAGCTTCGAAGAAGTCTCCTTCAAGCAGGGGGATTCAGATGTGAAGCCAACTGCGCACGGACGGAGGAGGCACAGCAAAACACAAGGGCTGCCCCAGCGTTTCAGGGAGCGCGTGCCCAGCAAGGACGCTGCTGTCCCCCGCTTCTCCCTAACACACGTCAGAGTTCTTTGGTGAGACGGGAGAGGTTTTGTTTTGTTTTTCAATTTCTCGGTGTACCAACTTGAAAAACCTAATGAAAAAATA